TTTAAATACGCATGTTATCTCGAAAGACCGTAAATTTAGTCTTAGACAGACGCTCTTTCATGTTCTTTGTTATGATCTGCAATTGCGATGCCATATCATTGTGAAAGGATTGTCACGAACTGCGCAAAAGCAAAATGCATGAGTGATCCACCCAAAACTTGTATTCATTCATAAGTTATAAAGTTAATCGAAAAGTGTACTTGTACATTGTGCACGCAAACACGCACGTAAAACATTACGGATAAACGAAACTCTACAGTCAAGAACAAAACATAGCGGCTTAGAGCTTATCACCACTACATAATCTTTCAAAGACTCTTAGTATACAAATAATAAATTAAACGTATAACTCATTTGTTGGTCACAGGTTTGTAATATGGGAAAATGGAATATTTCTATTGCACGAAATGTGCAGTGTATAAAACGCGCTTGTTGTTGTCTGGGCTAACACTTGGTATGTCGACAAAGCCTAGTTGTAAGATCTGCTAAAATAAACGTTTCCACGTCTTATAACGACTAAATATTGGAAAAGTATATAAGCGTGATAAACTACACAACTTTTGTTAATCTTCACAACCGCCGACTGTTGTTTTTGTTTTAAAATTCCAGTGAACAAATGTGCTATATATTATTATAATACTATTATTTTATATTGTGTCATTCAGTGGATACCAGCCAATGACGTCAGGAATGTATTCCGGCATAATTTAGCATAAGCCTTTTTTTCCAAAATGGCGGATAAGGATTCAACTTTATGTCAAATTTTCTCAACAGCAAAATTCAAAAGAGACACGAAAACACGAAATTAAGTATTCCATAGCTATCTATAATAAACGTATGAAAAAAAATTTTTTGTTGCCAATGTCCTTTAATTTACATTTATGGACTGATTTATACATCGTAAACACACATAATGATTCAGTTTATTTTGTCTCACAAATCATTAACTGATTGACGGTTTAAGTTTTCAGGTTTTTGCAATTGACGTTCTTTGCAAATTAAGCACTGTACGTATATCTATTGAGACGATACGTGGCATATTATTTTGTGACACGGAAGTTAAATCATCTTAAGAATGGATTATTATGTAAAGCAAAGAGACAGCATGTGACTTTATTGTTTTTGTTTAGGCAATAGTTGACCATAACTTTGAGCAATATTATCAATGGCAAAAAATGTTTGTAATAACGCATTATCATAGATTACTTAGGCCCGTTTAAACTATACCGGATTACTATCGTAGCAAGTTAAATTTCCTTTATACCAAAAGGCAGTGAATTTGTTCAACGTCAGAAATACAATCAAATGGACTAAATTTATCAACTTAATAAGCCTTTACTCCGTACAGATACCCCTTTAAAGCAAATGAAGATGTCATGATGAGCGAGTGCGGTAGAGTGTAAACGCAGCCTTAGTACAGCTTACTTTAAACATTTGAGTCTATTTGCAGTGCATGTATATATGTATATTAAATGGGTGTAGGTTGATGTTTAATTTTCGGGTAAAGAGTTCATACCTTAATATGCATGTTGTAATGCATACAAAACAATGGATTTTAAAAGAGCTTAAATTGGCTAATCATGAAAACTTGAACTCTAGCCTACCCAATTCTCAATCTTCCGTACGCCCCATACAGTTATATGTTTAGATGAAGTCTGTGGCAAAGCGAGGATGCTTTGATTCCACACTAGCAATTAATGTGAGATAAGCGTTGTTTAATACAAACTTCAAAGAAAAGAAATAATCAAGTATCCTTCTATTCAGTTATTCTGTGTTAATAATGTAATGACACGAATTTCAGCCTTCATTCACATCGATTTTCATAACTGTTGGAAAAATTGCTGTCTTTTATTGTGATTTAAAATTTACCTGTTTCTATGAAATTCATAAATATCTCCTGTCATAATGATAGCTGGGTTTAAAAACACAGACTGTGAAATTTGTAACAGAGATTCCAATGTAGTATCATTGGCATCTGTATTGTGGTATAAACATGCTTAAATGATATTTTTAAATTTCGTGGCAAACGTTTTGAACATAACTCGATGTTCATCAATATAAAGCTTTGTTGAATTCCACATCTTTTTGAGTTATACACATATAAAACAAACTTATCCATGTGCATTGATTTTGCAATCGTCCCTAAATAGCTTACATTTATTTGAATTAACAAGATCATCATGCAGGACTGATCTTTTAGTCATGCCTCACTAAAAAATGGCTATGTAAGTGTCCTGTTGTTCGATGAAACATTTATTATTTAGATGATTCTAATACAATTGAGATTTGTGGGAAAAAGTGGCTTTTTGTATCTTTAAGAATTTTCTTGATAATCTACAATTGCAAGGTGTGTTCTGATTACATTCAGATGTGTCATTGAGTTTAAACATATATGGTATAAGCACAGAATACAGAATATACAGAAGAGTCACTCTTGTCGGAATATCTGATGTCCTCACGCATGTTGTGCCGCACATATCGGCTGCCATAATCTAGCAAGATATTTAGGGCTCTTCACTTGTGTCCAATCACCAAAATGACCCAACGTCATTTCTTATATTAAAATATTTTTGATTTCATTACGAAGATACGATATCATGTTATTGCAGTGGTTGGGAACAAGTGAAAAACCCTAAGTATCTTGCTGGAAATTTGGCGACTGCGAGCACACTTGAGTTGCCCTTCTGTATATAATTGTTTTTCTGTAGTTTAGGCGTAACATTGGCAATTTGTAAAAGTAAATCAAAAGTTAATTCTTGTTCCAGTGATTTATATAATCGGCTCTAACGAAGTATGGGAGGTCGTGTGCCTAATGTAGGCATAGAATTTGTTTGAAGAAAGGATCGCTTCAATGGCTACCTAGACATCGTTTATATGACTTCTTACTCAATTTTTCTCCTTCAAAACCACAATGATAATATTAAGAGTTCGTTTTCTTTGACCAAGGATCTATATATGTGTGCTATGTTTAGTACACCAAGTTTCAGTTTCTTCTTCTCACCTGTTAAGAAATTTTATGAATCCATATTTCCGTTCAAAATTGACGAGTGATTGTCCCGATATTCACGAAGCTCATTTCCATATTAAATACTGTTTTTATTTGATTGTACTCTTCTAATTGCACATATAGAAATAAGCTTTGTGAAGTTTATCATTTAATTCTAGACACATTATTGGTTTTATCTTTTGTTGATTGTACATTCTACAACATGTAAAGAAAGTAAACAATTAAGAAAACCTCCCTAAATTCATCAGCGTACAAGATTTTTTAAATGTTTTTGGTGGATTAGCTAGTTGGACCTTCAAAGGTTTCGCTGGCAGGAAATTTGTTGGAAACAATAAAAATTTATAGACTGAGCATTATGTAAGCAACAAATAACTAAACAACTGCTTGGGCATGCGAAACTGCAGGACAGAAATAGAAAGCAACACATTGGATGAAAATTTGTCTCATGCTCTTCAAGCTAACAAAGTTTCAGAAAATTTCGTCAAAGTTTAATGAATGCTGGACATCCAAATTTCAGATTTTTTTTTGATTTTTTTAAATGATATTTTTTAAAAACCATTATCAATTATTCATGATACCATTCATTTAAGCTCAAAATTATGCATAAGATTAGTCTGTATGAGATTACGCTGTTTAGGGTTACGTTATTAGATTAAGTTTCTATTGTTCTATTTGTTATACGGATTAACAACGAAATTTTCTTGCTTCAAAACTTCATTTGGGCAATCAGCACTAGAAAAATACGAAATTCTTGTGGTGTTAGCCGTGGCATTCACCTCACTAATTCATACTCACGCGTGTTTCCATTATAAAAGAAAAGGGAAAAGAAGGTTGAGTAAGTTTGAAAATGGTAAGTCAAAGTTTCCAAAATGCGTGAGAATCCTGGGAACGACTCTTACCCAAAGCGCTGTAATGTTAACGGAAATGGTAATTGCTCCGCCTTCTTTGAAGCCAATACTGATGCTAATTTTTCTGCGTTTTTAGAAGTTCCATGATACTATTTTCAAAAATAAAGAACGATATACATAAAATACAGTGGCACAAATGGCCGGCCGTAATAAGTTTTATCTCACGAGATTAGGTAATTTGCCTATAAACGCAGATAAAAAGGTGGCTTCAAAATGGCCTTTAGCCCAAGTATTAGAGTTAACGTTCCAGTTAATATTACAGTTCACTGTTCTCGCCTCAACTTGTGTTTTTGTGCTACAGGTGGGAGGAGGAAAAACATCCGGAAGGCATAAAAAGGCTCACACTAGAACACAAGGGGCCATACTTCCCAACGGAGTATGAACCTCTTCTTCATGATGTCAACTTTTACTACGACGGTAAGAGTTTATGATCATAACTTTATAAATTAGTATTCATATTTATAATAAAAATATTTAACTTGAAAATAGATGAATTCGTTTTATAGCATTCGTTTATTTTCGGTTGTTATTCTTTAGGTGTCAAAATAGAACTTTCTCCTAAAAGTGAAGAGGTTAGAATATATTGTTGCTATATTACCTTAAAGAGTGTAGTTTCCATGGTAAATGGCGGTTATATGTCGAGTTACTCAGTAGTTAAAAAATGTGTCTAATATCTTGCTTTTTGCGCTTTTTCGGCTGTTTTATGGGACCCTGTGTATTAGGAGTAGAAAGAAAATGAACTAAACAAACTCCGCATTGTTTTCTCATATCCGAAAGTAATGCTGTTGAATTCCTGATGCATCTTAAATATGGATTCAAGGGAGAGGTGTGTACTCCTCAAGTACAGTTCGGCTATCTATTACTTATGTACAAAATACCAATTTACGAAACAGTTAAGCAAAAGCAATACTGGTTAATGTTCAATTGAGCACACTTTCAAACATATCCCTATGATAGTAAAAATGTAACATAGTTGGACAAAAAACTCTTGAATGCTACAGCAACAAATAGCCATTAAACTTCAAACTAGAGCACTCTCCCCTCCCCTCCCCCAAACCTACAAAACCACCGTAGATACATCTTCGATGTATTTCTTGTATGGCTACTGCATGATGGGTAATCATCGAGAAAGAGTGGGGTATTTTAAGATCGAACCTCCCGGGCTTTTTCAAGGAAGAGGCAATCATCCGAAGCAGGGAAACTGAAGAAAAGACTCCAGGCTAAAGATATCAGCATTAATATTGGCAAGTTAGTAATTTCAATCATATTTGGCGTTTGTTCGCACAAAAGAATTGGAGTTTTTCAACTCCTCCACGAAAAATCTAGATTGTCTTCTTAACAGGTAAACAGGAAAATTTGTATTTCGAAAATAACTATTCAAATTTTTCTACACTGTAAAACTAACGACGTCACGTCTCTCTTTACGTAGAGATGCTAAAGTTCCCGATCCTCCCAACGAGCAAAGATGGAAAGCAGTTCAGCATGATAATAAGGTGTGATAGTTGTTTATGACTGTGTACTTTTTCTTACAAATTATGTTCGTTGAATTTGAATATTGATGAATATGTGTAGACATTGATTGACATGCAGTGTTGTTGTTGGATATATTTGGATCTACTTTGAATCTTGGTAAAAATTTTCACAATATGAGATTTCTCATCCAATAATTAAATTACGTAATTAGCATGTTGGATCGAGAATATCCAGGGAAGTTACAAGTACGTCATGTTAAATCCAACATCAAGGATCAAGGTAATTAATATGTGATAGTTGATTTGTGATGTGCAGAATGATGTTTTTTGAAAGTATGAATTTTGATAATTTAGGGCGAAAAAGATTGGTGGAAGTATGAAACCGCGCGTAAAATAAAGGTATGTACAACCATTTTTATTATTTTATGTGATTTGACTCTCCATATTGTCATGTGCATAAAAATGTTAAATGACTCCATTTAAGATAATCTGAAATGCGACTTTGCTCAGCAATCCGCAAATTATTGTCTAAAGTTCAAACTCAGAATCCCAAATCTATATATTCTATTTATCTCAGACTCCAAAGTATGTATTGAGATGCAAGAGATGTCGTGTTGATTGATATTGTTTTGGTAGGGTTTAATTGGTCAAATCCGTCAAGAATATAGAACTGATTGGAAATCTAAGGAAATTCGTATAAGACAAAGGTATACTCATTGTCAGCGAAGATTTTAACTCATACGAAACATACGTTGTTCCGAAATATATATTGTGTAAATTAAAAATTTTGATTAACTGTAAAAATTAGCTATATTTCGATTAAAATATCATTAAACATATTTAATTTGCACAATTAAAATACTGGAATATTTTTTGTTTTATTAATGTTTGTACTTAAAAGTCACATTGAATTATGTGAAGTTTTACGGAGGTATTTGTTAATTTATTTAACTAGGAGCTGGTGTCGTTGTTTTTTAACAAGTTAACAGTATTTTTTTTTCTTTATTCCAGAGGTGTAGTGTTGTATTTCATTGATAAGGTAATGGTTTTATTTGAACATTTTGTTCTGCTTTTGAACATTCTTTTACCATCTAGGTGTTTTATATTCCTCCATTAGCTTGCTCTTCCTGCTGGTCACGAGAAGGACGAAGATACCGCTGACACAGTGGGTTGCTGTTCACTAAGATATGAGCACATAAGTATGTTCATTTATTGTACATAATAAGTTTCTCCTTGTTCAATCAAAATAGCTATTATAGTAAACATTCAAATTTGAGGCAAACTCACTCTTTTCACACACTCCTTCTGCATTTTAGCCTCTCGTGATGGGGTCAACGTGTTAAATTAATCATTTTGTCTATTCATACTATTGGTGAGTTGAGAAGTTTAAAACTATTGCTTCAAATATTTGTTGTCGATTTACATTCAACATTCCTAATTTACTTTAAAATATCTATTGAATGAATCTAACACAATATCTGTGATCTTCCTCAGACAACATCTTAAACAAACATCTCTCAGATCTAATGGAAGGCCTCAGTGCCAAGGTCATCCGTACATACAATGCATCAATGACCTTACAAGAACAGCTGGATAAACTTGAATTAGAAAGTAATGTTGCTGCAAGAGTCTTGGGTAATAATTGCGCAAGCAGAGCTGCCGCCATCTCTTGTAACCATCAGGTGTAAAGTTGTGGACATGGAGTGCATGAAAAAATTTGTGTTAAGACTTATAATCCGTGAGCTGTGACCGATTTTCTTTCCTTCTCGTTGGACACCTTAAGAAAGGTCGTGAAAAGTTCAAGACACAACGACTTTTACATGCTTAATACAATTTTACATCTTGTCATCTCGAAAAAGCTGCAGTTATATTGCTACATTACATTGAAATTTTAAAATTTGTAGCTCATTACAATTCCGGAATCCGCATTGTTCCATTGAAACTTCATGTAATCTATATTTTGTGTGTTCGTGCCAGACTTATAAAGCGCTATTCCACTCGGTTAAATTGACAACCTGAGTAAGATTCTTAAAAAATAAATATTTGACACCTGCATTAGGTTGGATTTAAAAAATTTTGCGAAGATGATATTTTGAAAGTTATAAGAGTATTGTGCAAAACAAGGCGCCGTTTTTTTAATGGTACATTGTCATGCAGTTGCGACTGCTAGCGAGTAAGGATAGGGACGAGTTTCTTTCAATTTTTAGACTTGTAGACATTCTAGCTATTTCATATGCTTTTCATTACTGGGAAAATTAATTGCATTGTTAAAAAAAAAACAGAAAAAAAGGAAAATCATTTTTCAGGTGGGGAGCTTCTGGTATTTTTTCATATGCTACCCTCGATACAGTCGACAGAGTAGTCTGAAGCTGCGCACAGATTAAAGGCATTACGTCAACGTAACAGCACAAGCCAACGCAGCAGGGGCTGCGGAAGTATCTCAAAAGTTGGGGGGCACTGACAGAAAAGGGCATGTGCGTTTGCAGCTTACTGTTTTAGTATATTACAGATATGCATTGTTTCATGAATCAGAATTAAGTTTCAAAGTCTGCAAAATATTGGTAGACATTCTTAGAATGCTATGCGTATTCTCTACTGCTCGGCGTGCGTGCTAACAAATTGAACTAAGATGACCACGTGATCAATTTTATTAAGTAATGGGATCTCATTAAAATTTTCCAAAAATTCTAACCCTACGTTCGTTTTTCAGAACAAAGTCCTTAGCTATTAAACGTAAGTCTAGTTCGTCAGTTCTTGCCTTGTTTACATGCACGCCTGGCATTTTTGCATGCCAAAACGCTAGTTTGTAAGTCATTGTGTCCAGCGGTTTTTGCACAAAATACTTGATTAAAATAATTAATTAATGAAGATGGCGGCTGTTTCTAATGTGCGATTTTCAGCAGAAGAAAAATTACATCAAGAAGACATATACAACAGCGCCGTTCAACAGCCACCTTCCTCCTTAACAAAAGTTGAAGAGGCAATTTTCGCATTGCAAGTGACATGCAATGCGAACATGTGGAAATTGTCTCAAAGCGGTGTGTTGGGCAAGTGCAAGCTACACTTCAACTTGCAGAGGTCGACTTCGACACACAACAATAATTCGCTGAGATTGATGGAACTTTCTATCAATCCAGCTAAGCTCTTAAAGGAGGAGTCACGAATTTGGCTAATGGGGATTCATCGACGACTTGGTGGCAAAAAAAGCATCAGAAACCCATATTATGGGGAAATTACGAGGGTTACTCCGCATGCTATTTTTGCTACCATGATGCGTACTGTTCGCACTTTGGATGGTTTTGTGGCTCCTTCCTGTTTCCAGGTTAAAAACAAGAAGGCTGAGGTGATATCCTTCACCTCCATGCGCCTTTTGAATGAGTTGCTTGTTTTGTTGTCTGGCTTGTCCAAGGAAGATGTTGCTGCTTACCTAAGGCGAAGTTTTAGCGGACGTCGCAAGGGTCAAACAGCAGCAGTTATTGTAACCCAGGTGAAAGACTTTGTTTATTCAATGATGAGCCTTCCAGTTTCTTATTTTGTACATAAAGACAAACAAACATAAAATTTGCCAAACAGCAAAAGAAGCAACTCATTCAAAATTAAGAAAAATATGAAAAATTCAACGTAATTCATGTCATCCCTCTAAAAACAAAGAGATCTACAAATACCTTTTAAATTTATTTCAAATAAAAAAGTTGAAACCTGACTAACAACTGAGCCATTAATTAGCTCTTGGTAATTGTTGCATTGCCTGCTTTAAAAACAAAAATAGGGCAAACTAGCACATTGCCTGCGAATACTAGACAGTAAATTTTTCAATGAGGACACCACACTCTGACTTCTTCGAGTTTTTATTAAAGTTGACAAAGGTTTTAAAAATTAGTTAAACTACACAAATATTAGCCAATGTAAAATTCAGATAAGTATAATATATGCAAATTTGATTGTATGCACATGTAAAGCTTGTATGCTCTAACATGTACATATTCCGGTAAGATTAAGTTGCACAGATTATACTTGTCCAAACGTGATAAAAGACTAAATAGTTTTGTTACATGATATATATACAATTACAATATTACAACTTACCCAAACAATATACTTATTTTAATATCTTTGTCTTCATTCAGCTTGTACATAAAATTACTTTGCTTTGTAACAAATCACAAAAAAAGCAAATGCCAAATCAAAAAGCAAATGCCAAATCAAAAAGCAATTGTTAAATAATTGTTTTTTTGTAGAATGATTGCTATAAGCAATTACAGGAGACAGTTCTCTGAACAATTAGCCCCAAAGAGCAGGAAATTTTCATTGCGGCTCAACATGCCATGTCCAATGTTTAGAAAACTTACCAGCCAAGAGCATGCTGAATCATCTCTTCCAAAAGGGGCCCCATCTCCACCAATAGCAACATGAAATGAGTTTGGCTGACTAAAGTTGAAAAGTTTATACTTACCAATGTTCAAATAAAATTCTGCAAGCTTAACAAGAATATCTTCTATATCTCTGTAAAAACCATTGACCTTCTCACACTCATCCAACCCATTGCACAGATGTTCACGAACACTAAATAACTTACCAATATCAATAGATTTAATGTATTGCATTAATCTATCATAGGGAACTAGCCGAGGGGTGGGACATTTAGCAACACTAACACGTTTAGCCCTCTTACTACCACATATCTGCTCATATGAGCTAGCCTTATAAACTCTTCTATACTTTTCTTTGCTCATAACTCCTTTGCTATAATACACAGCAATCGATCTTAACATATTCTCATCTGATCTTTCGAACTTCTTCAAATCTTCTTTGTAAATTTTTGGAAAAACTTTGCTCTTAAACTTACTGCACTTTTCTAATCCTTTTACTATATCACCCACTTTGCACTTATTCTCTAATGTCTCCAACATTCCAATGGCACCAGGTTTTGTATCATCTTTACTACCTCCATGAATGGCATTAGCCGCCAACATAGTCTCCATCCTGCGTGTTCGACCAGTGGACTCCACACAACCTTGCCCAGTTGGTTTGTTTCTTCGCCTAACAACTGCCTTCCTGCCTATGCTAAAACCTTTCTCCTCTTGTCCCTCCTGCCTACTTCCACCTTCAATGAACTCTGTCCTGATGCTATCTAACTCTTCTAGCTCATTCACCAATTTCTTTACCTGTAAAATTTATGAATACAGTTCCAGCACAAAAATGGCATACACATTCTGATATAAAATACAAACACAAACAGTTCACACTAAAAATACAATTAAACTGAAATAGTACGCCTTGGCGCTAAATATGTCGATTCTGTATAAAACAATCTTTCATTAAAAAATAAGCCTATCATTACAAAATTCGACACATCATGTCAAAATATTGCATATGTTATTGACTTATTGACATAAGACAAGATCGAGTAAGCAAAGATCATTTCAAATAAAACTACTAAACATTTTTTACCTTATCATCAAGACGTTTAAGCTTCTGAGACACACATTTTGCTTTCTTTTGCTTGCTCATATTTCCTTCCCATGCCAATCTTTTGTTGCGCATGTATTCCCCAACATTGAATCGTTTGTAATTCGTTGCCTTGCGGAACGGCATGATTGACGCTAAATTATCCCATTTTCTTAAAAACAAAAAACATACGATTGTAGGAAGATTATTTATCTTACCAAATATCCAAAATTTAAGCAAAAGAATGATCGGATAAAGAAACCTATACAAGCCGAAGTTAGAGTAAATTATCAAATTTCGCCAAGCGACGCCATTTCGCCAAAAACCCTCGAGCAACAAGCTCGTCTGTTGAAAAACTATATGTGTAACCATAGCAAATGACATCAAAATGATCCTCTAGTTTTCCTCTATAACACTCTTGTGTTCCCAAGTAGCTCAAGGAAAACGTTTGCTGGAAAATCAACGACAAAAATAAGGAATTTGCTGTTCGATAAATTCGTTACCAAGCTTCGAAAAATGTCGCGCGCCGGCAATAAAATTTGGCACATTCTAATTCTCTAATTTCGCGCACAAAAATGCCAAGCGTGATGCATAAAAATAAGATTATTGTAGCGTGCTGCCATCATTGTGCTCCTGAGATGTGTCTTGACAAGCCGCTGGCATGAAAAAGATCGTTCTCCAGAGGAAGCGCTCTTTGGAGCAAGGAGGTAAATCTGCAAGAGTCGGATAACATTAGACATTGCCATGACAATCTGCAATGAGTTTTCTTCGGTTAAGAATATTGATGTTATGGTGTCAATTGATGTCACCTTCTTTACTTCTGGAAGTCGTTGTGAGATAATTCCTTCAAGAAGCTTTAACTCCGCCTTCAGCTGGTCAAAGTCGAGGTCATTTTTTGTGTTCAACTTCATCATTCAACTCAAACTTACGCCTGTT